ATATTAATAAATATATCATTCAAAAATTAAAGACTCAATAGATAGTCATAGACTCATAGTAGACTATAAGTCAATAATTGAAAAAAAGGCAAACAAAACAGGGCCTGGAAAAAAACAGAGTGTTTGTTAAGAGAAGCAGCAGCCTCTGTTATTTTGCCATAACAGGGACTCGAAAAAGCCTCTGTTATTTTGCCAAAACAGAGCCAAAAAAAAATTTAGAGAAGAAGAAAGAGGAAGGAAGGAGCCCCTGTATTTTGCTCGAAAAATAGAGCACAAAAACAGACCTCTGTTTCTGTTCTTTTCGACAAAAAACAGAGGAAAAAAAATAGAAAGAAGAAGGAGAAAGAAGAAAGAAGAAAGAAGAAAGAAGAAAGAAGAAGAAAGAAAGGAAACTCGGAGAAGCATACCTGGTCTTTCAATGGCAGAAACTTGATGAAGAAGAAGATGGCACTTGGCAGAAACCTCAAGCTTTCAGATGAAGAAGACGATGGCACAGTAAATGCGAGCCCTAATCGGCTAATCGCGAGTTCAGATAAAGCTCTGTTGTTTTGTTCGAAGTTGAAGAAGCTCTGTTGTCAAGCCCTAATCGCGACCCTTTTTGTTTAATCTTTGCCCTTTTTTTTTTTAAAAGCGACGCTAAACTCGCTTCTCGCGACACTGTCGCCTCTCGCCACACAGGCTAAGGCGAGCGCTATTTTGAAACCCAATGCAACAGAGGGTCTGTAGCGACACTGCCTTGCATTGCCTCGCCTCACACTATTAGCGCAGAGGCGAGCGCTATTTATAACAGTGTTGAACAAAGCAAATAAACATGTGATGTGTGGATTAGGTGCACTTCACATGTTTGAACTCTACCACAGACAAAGTGCCGGTATTTAAGTGTGGAGAAGGGTAGAGGGACAACCCATTATCCACCGAGTTCTGAACTGTAGGCTAGCTGGCCCTCTGCCCTCAGGTATTTCTAGGTCTTTTACATAAATTTAAGGTCATGTATTCATTTCTTCGTCCTTTTACTTTGTCTCTTATATTTTATATCATGCAGTTTTTGCATTGTACTATTCCTTCTTTTTTTCATCTGCTTAATCTTCGTCTTTGATTAGTCCGTTCTTATCTAAAACAAAATGTAATAAAGTAACTTTTTCAGGAAGTCTTCTATATTAGAAAAGTATTTCTACTGATAAAAAGATTAGGATGCTAATCCTCAATGTCTTTGGTTGAACCTAAAGTTCAGTAGCACGTGATAGTAGCTGAGGTTGTTCTGGGGCATGGTTCTCTGGTGATTGCTACTAGTAGTAAAAATTGAAAATGGTTTACATTTTCTCTGGGCATGTAGCACGTTATTTGTAGTAATAGAAGAGAGGAATGTAGTTACATCCTTAAACAATAGAACTGGTGTGGTTTGCTCCAAACTTGTGTGAAATACTTTCTTGGGGCTAACACTTTTACTCGTTAGGACTACTATAAACTGGGAAAAACGCTCAGTCGAAAAACAATTGCCATACAGATGCAGCTTCAGTGTGCGCTTTATGCTGGTTTACCATTACAGAGACTTTATTACCAAATATCTGAGTACTGTGCATCCTGTAGTATTCTTAAATTCTTCAAATGCTAGATGAGCAAGAGCAATAATTAAGAAAGCACATCTGGATATTAGATTCTTGTGATTGAAGTGCTATCCTTTGTATCTGACGCCTTAATATAGATGTCAATGATTAGAAATGTTGTGACAAGCAGCGCAGACATTTATAATCTCGAAGAGACCGATGAAGGGGCACGGAAGGGAGATGATCCAGTTGGGCCTACCCATTGCAGATGCACCTCCTGAAGATGAAGCTGCCTTTGCAACATTTAAAGGCATGTTTAACATTTATGAAATAGGGTAAACTTATATATCTTTGCTTTCTTGTGTATTTATGTGGTTAATCAAAATTTTGCAGAGCGGAAAATGGAAGTGATTCCTAGCTTGTTCCAAGATGCTATTGAACGACTAAGTGCTATGCAAGTTTTAACTGCAAAGCCAGATGCTTGCACTATTGACATCTTCAATGAGGTTACAAGCAGTAGTTGTAATTCTTACGGTCATGGCGATTTTGTTTAGGAAGCTTAGCAGACTTGATACATTGTTTGTAATTGTAGGGGGACCACTCACAACCTCATATGTGGCCTTATTGGTACGGGCGGCCTGTAGCTATGTTGTTCTTGACAGAATGTGAAATGACTTTCGGTAAGATGATTGGTGCGGACCATCCTGGCGATTATCGAGGCTCTCTCAAACTTTCTTTTGCACCAGGGTAATCCTTTCCTCGGGCTTTGTTGTTTGGTTTGTTATATCTTTTGTTTTATTTACTAGTTTGTCTTGTGCATGTATAGTGGAAATTGCACTTTTCATTGATATAACTTGGTTCGAAATTAAGTTGCTACATTATCCAGCCTAGCACATTAAACCTTCAAATTGCATTCAATGGGTAGATTTAGTCCTTTTGCTATAGGTATTGGAAAGAAGTTTTAACAATATCATGGACTTTTCATGTCTTTTGTTCCTTCCATCCATTCCTCAAACCTCCACAAACATCCCTTATTCCAATTACTTTGTACTGAATACTGCAAATCCTCACCCCCCCTTCCTAAAATAACTTGAGGTTGCAGTAACTTGCAATGCTGTGATGGTGACAAGTTAGGACCAGAAAAGAGTCTTAATGGACTTGGCAGCAAATGGGAAGGGTTAAAAGTTGTAGTAGCCACAGCAAATCGTATCCACTTAGTTACACAATTACTAGAAGGATTAATGTGTTTCTATGAGACCAAAATCAAGATTATCCCACTTATTTGGACTAAGAATGCGAAAATAACAGACACACACACACGTGGTACTTTATGTTCCATTGCCTCCTTTTCCACTTTGCTACTTTTGTCTGTTTAATTGTTTTTCTTGGTTAATCACCTACTAATCTTTCTGCTATGAAAATGCACAGATCCGTACTTGTAATGCAGGGAAGATCAACCGATTTTGCTAGACATGCTATTCCATCCATCCGTAAGCAGCGTATACTTGTGACCTTTACAAAGGTGCAGCCAAGAAGATTCAAGTCTGGTGATAGTCAGCGTTTCTCTTCATCAGCAGGAGGTCCTGCCTCCCAGTGGGTCCCTCCTCCTAGCAGGTCACCAAATCATATCCGTCATCCTTTTGGGCCCAAGCATTATGGTTCCATGCCAACAACCGGCGTATTACCTGTTCCAGCTGTTCGTTCACAGCTAGCTCCTCCAAATGGTATCCAGCCAATTTTTGTTCCCGCTGCGGTTGCACCACCTATGGTTTTTCCTGCACCAGTTGCTCTTCCACCTGCCTCAGGTGGATGGGCAGCACCCCCTCCTAGGCATCCCGCACCACGACTTCCACTCCCTGGCACTGGCGTTTTCCTTCCTCCAGGATCTGGAGCTTCAGCCACTGGCAACAATCCTGCTGAAAATCCAGCTTCCTCAGAAAAGGACAATGCAGGCGCTTCTCTGAAAGATAACATGGATAGTGAAGTAGAAACACAAGAGTGCAACGGAAAGATAGATGATAGTGGTGCAGAGAAAGCAGTGGCTGATGAAGAACAACACTAACTGCTGATTTCAGCAGCTTGTAAACCAGTTGAAGCAGTGCAGGAACCAGAACAGAAAAAGGGTGACTGTTTTGTCGGAGGGAAAGTTTTAGGTTAGAAACTGCAGTGAGTTTTGAAGCCAAATGTAAAGAGCGGCCATTCACACATCCAGTAGAGCAAAGGAAGGGAGTTATCTGTTCTCCATGATCCCCTTTGCTTGCTCTTCCTTTTTGTTGTCTTATCAAACATAAATATATATATCTCGTATATTAAATTAAATGAGGAACTTAGTTTCAAAACTATATTATAGCTCCACAGAAAATTTTAACTCATTGAATAGAAGTAATGAGGATTTCTTTCTGTCAGCTGCTGCCCTGTTCTCATATATGAGATCAGCAAACTTGTATGCTAAAATATTTATACTAAAATGAACTTGGACATTTTCTTTTAGGTGCTTTCTTACTCCTCCCCTTGGTTGCATTGCAAATTTTCCTGTTGTCTGAAACACTTTCTTTCCTATGCTGATGCTTGACAGGTAAAATCTTTTTCCTTGTCTGTGACGATCAAAATATATTCTTACCTCTATTTAACATGGAAATTGATAAAACCATATTAGCTTGCATTTCTGCTAGGGCCAAATACTACTGCCAAGCAGAAGGTAAAAATGTCCTAGTAGAATAACTGTTCTATCATTGTGTCAATATCACTTCTTGTGCTTGTCACTATTAACCTGTGTGTAGAATCTGTTAATTTTTAGCTGATTATTTGTTGTCATATTGTGTCAGTAGAATCTATAATCTCTTAGCTTATTATCTGAGATGGAGGAGGTAACACTTGTGTTGATTTCCTGTGATCATTCTCTTTCGTTCCTTTCAAGATTTAATCAAAACTAAAGGTGTTAAACGGGCTGGGTTGGACCGGTTCCGGACCGGCCCAGACCGGTAGAACACGAAACCGGCTCGGACCGGTAATAAGGGGCTGGGCTGGGCTGGGTAAGGGGGTTTGGGGGGGTTGGCGCGGTTCAGCTGGCCCAAACGGGTAATCGGAACCGGTTGAACCCGGTAGAGTGAATAGTAACTCTTACGGGTTAACCGGTCCGGTTCAAACGACTAGTTTTTTTTTTAAAATTTTTCGGACTTGGGGGCCCCACAGATCGTTGGCAACTGTCAGACCATGTTTTGGTCTGTTGGCCAACGGAAATATTGCACAAATAGCCTATTTTTTTTTTTTTAATTTTTAACCCTTTTTCAATTTACAAAACTAACCTTCTTTAAAACTATAAATACCCCCCCTCTTCTTCATTTATTCACTCAATACTCATTTCTCAATCTCAATTTCTCTCATTCTACAATTTGCAAGACTTCAAGTCTTCAATCTAATATTATTTGGCTCTCTTTTCTTGAATTTAATTTATCGTGTTTTGTCATTTGAAGTTTGAACTTTGAACAATTGAAGTTCAAAATTGAAATACTTGCTTGACGTTTGTTCGTGGTAACATCGGTTGAAATACTTGAAATACTATTTTACTTGTTGAAAAAAATGTAAACCTTTCAATTTGTAAGTTTGAAACTTTGAAATTTGAATTAAGAAATAAAAGTAGCACTTGCAATAAGTGCATTTTTTCCCAATTTCCATTGTATTCTTTATGTTAGTACTTTGTAATGCACTTATTACAATATTTATACAAAATTCCAAAAAAAATAATATTAAAATTACACTAAATTCGGCCCTCTCAACCTGTAACCCGTACGATTCAGTTTTTACCCGGATGAACCCGAACCCGTTAAGAACCAACCCGGAATCGGTCCGGATCGTAACCTGTACGGGTCCAAACAATGGAGGCCCGGCCCGGCCCGGTTAGCCCGTTAAACACCCATAATCAAAACATAGAAATTGAGCAGCGTTATTCTCTGGTCATAAAGTCTCCCGTTTATGGTAATAGTTTAGCCCATTACTCATATCATATGCTTTGTGCTTAGGCCCGCCCGCATGTTACAGGGTTTAGAAGCTTGCTTCCTTATATACCCGTCATGTCTCTTGTGTTCTATCGATGTGGAATTTGTCTTGGGTGTTACATATGTATACCCCATTCACGGACTAAGCTTCCTTGCGGAGTTTTGCTCTACTATTATCTCAAAGATGCGAGATTCATCTTAATTCAGTTGAACGTTGAGGTTTGCCCCACTATCGCCTGAGGTTGCCTGCAATGATCTGTAACATCACAGAGCCTACTAGTGATATTGTACGCTTTGTGCTTAAGCTTATTTGATTTTAAAACACAACACTAGAGATTAAAGGCTTGCTTTCTTGTGTACCCAATATTTTTTTGAATATGCAATTTGTGTAGGGTGTCACACATTTCCTGCCGTGTGGTGGTCTGGTCTTGGATTTAAATTCTAAGAACGGAAAATTTATTGACAGTTGCTTATAGAAAGAAAGAAGAGCTTCCTATTCAAGTCGTGCAATACTACAATAGGACATCACTAGTGACTACATTAGAGTGGAGCCAAATAAGTGTACACTTTTTGTTAAATGATTTAATTAAATCCAAGAAGTCTGGAAAGCGACACTTTACACCCTTTCGAGCATTTATTCTTGAGACATTTTGCCCCTTAGGCCGAATGTCAACAATTTTTTTTAACATTCTGCTTATTACCCTTCTAAAATTTGAATGAGACGGTCATGGATCCCAAATTGAAAAAAATAGTAAGCTTGAAATTTTTTGCGAGATCTATTAAACCACCAGGATTGAATGGAATTAGTTTGGCAGAATCTTAAAGGCATTTATTACGACCTGCCCCAGTTCTTTTTTTAGTTTTTTTTTCTCTCTTCATTTTCTAGGATCTCCTACTCCTTTTCAAAGTCAAGTATTAGGAGAATTCTTTTTCCTTTTTCCTCTTCCAACAATTAGATTTAATTATTTATTAATAAAGCACTCCATTAGTTGTTTTTCTAATGGCACGCCGTGACTTTTACTATTATTCACCAACTCCAACTCACCACCATGTACAATGAGGATTAAAAAAAGAGTAAATGTGTCAGGGTTCAAATATCTATTGTACTTGAAATTGAAATATAAATTAATTGAATAACGCAACACGTTGGTAATTCTCTTTTTTCCACACTTAGAAAATAAAATACTCCTATCAACTTAGCCACACGAAACTTCCAACTAACTGTTCACATGAAAGTACGTGTGAAACGTTTAATTATTGTTCTGGTTTTGGCTTAATATATAGACCAGTAACTCTTAAGTAAATTCGTACTCCTTTATTAACCTATATCTTTTTTGGTCCGTTCTAAAAAAAAAGACTCATTTCTAAATTTGAAAACAATTTAACTTAAAAACTTACAATTCTACCCTTAATGAGAAGTTTTTATAACCACACAAATACTTTGGTCCCCTTTTTAACTTGTTTAGGACCACAAATTTCAAAAGTCTTCATTTTTTCTTAAATTCTGTGTCCAGTCAAACATGTTCACATAAATTAGAACGGAGGGAGTAGTATTTTACCGCTAAGAATTGTGGTAGGGTAGGATGAAATAGATCCTCCACTCGTAACCAAAAGTTTCAGTTCAAGTCTTGAAAATAGAGAAATTCATAATAGAATTTCCCATAAATGGACTCTACGTAATTTCGAATATCATATGATTTAAAATATGTATTATTTTCTTATAGCCATTGAGATATACGTACAAGCAAGGATTTGAATAAATAAAAGGCACGATACCTTGGCTTCAAACATAGATATAAGGCTGTCACATCATTGCAATTTCTTATCATATTCCTTTCCAAATAGTTGAAGTACAGAATTTTGTTTTGGATATTATATTCCATTAATATACTCTTCATTCATAAAACCAAAGAGGCCAATCTTGTGTGATAATTCCCTCCAAATTAAAGTCTTTCATTTTTTCATATCAAATGACAGTTTTTTTTTTTCTCAAGAAAACTATGCATTTTCAGTATCTAATTTTCTTGGCTAGTTTTGGAGTGTATTTTGTTCTTTGTGCTGCTGAATTTCCATATCTCAAACAATCTGTGAAAGCTGATGGCTCTCTTAGTTTTCTAGTGGTTGGAGATTGGGGGAGGAAAGGGCTCTATAATCAATCCGATGTCGCCTTTCAGGTTTTCTTTTCTTTCTCCGCTAGGATTTGAACCTGAAATCTCATTATTTTCTTTTCATATATATGAGTTGTTGTTCTTCTTCTTCTTTAGTATATGGTCAGTTAAAAAAACATGATTGTTTTCTTCAAGTTTTAATTCCTCTCATAATACTTACCAGTTACGTCCCTTGGTGTTTTTTTCTTTTAAAAATTTATAAAGTTTCTGGTTTTATAGAATTTTTTAAATGTTGAAAGTTGGTGATTAATAAAAAGTTATTGTGAGAAAGTAAAAAAACCACTTTTAGAGTTCTTTTCTATTGTTTTCGAGTTTTATATAAGTCTGTTGAAAGTTGGTGTTTGATAAATTAATACCGGATTGACCCTGATAATATTATTGTAAGATAGAAAGAGAGAGAAAAATTTGAAATTTTGATTTTAAGCTTGGCATTAAATGATAGATATTTCAATAGGTATAGGAGGGAGAGACAATAAATCTTGCCACCAATGCAAAATAATAGGCTGTTAATATAATTTTGAATCTACTTTTCATTATATCTCTACGTTTAACTTTTAATTATGCATGTGACGCATCAATTTAAAAATTAAATTTTTGCAGCTTAATAATAATAATAATAATGCCGTATTTAATTTAATAAACTTCTTATTGACCTTTGAACACCTACTTTTTTTTGTGACTATTGTATTACGGGTAGGTTGGGGGAAGGAAGAGTTGTGGGGGATTCAAAGCTTATGAATTTTTGAATATATAAAAATTACTCTATTTATTTTTAGGTTTCTCGAATAAAACTTTGTCTAACGATATCAAAATTTCTGATTAAGAACGAAGATCACTCAACCACAATCCATATTGATTCATCTCTCTATATATTATTAGAGTATAAGAGACAAGTTTTTTTTCTTCACGCAAATAAAAAAGAAATAATTCTGTGGAGATACCAGATTGATTTTATTTGGTGATGGAGTTAAAGGGAAAAGGCATATTCCCCACTCTTCCAAAAGTCATTCATCCAAAAAGTTTATTACTTTAAGCAACAGAAATTCTTTTTACTCTTCTGTATCCCATTTTAAAGTCGATTTTTCTTACGTATTAGACACCCTTTAAGTTTTTAACGTTAAATCCATATTTGTACTGTTTTCTTGGGGTACGTAACATCATAAAGCAAAGGAGAAGAACAAGGAAATTAACAGTGGCATATTTTTGGACAGTCGACTTTAGATGTACTTTTGTCAAGTTGGACCGAGTAAACATTTACTTAAGCTAAAAGGTGTTTGGATTGAAATTATGTGAATAATACTCCCTCCGTTTCAATTTATGTGAATCTGTTTGACTGGACGCAGAGTTTAAAAAGAAAATGAAGGTTTTTAAAATTTGTGGTCCTAAACAAGTTAAAATGGGGTCCAGAGTATTTGTGTGGTTATAAAAGCTTCTCATTAAGGGTAGAATTGGAAGTTTAAGCTAAATGTTTCCAAATTTTAGAAAGAGTTCTTTCTTTTTGGAACGGACCAAAAAAGAAATAGGTTCACATAAACTGAAACGGAGAGAGTAGTACTAAAAATAGCTAGAATTTGATTGACCTACCCGGTTAAAGTTAGTTGTAAACTGAGGCGGATCTACAATGGCACATACAAGCTCACGTGCATAAGGACGGATCCAGCTTGCGACTTATGTGTTCCCGTGAACTCAGTAGCTTTTGTCCAAACAGTGTAAATGTGTTCCAAAAATTCACTAAGTATCTATAAATGTTTGAATGTGAACTCAGTTACTACTGAAAATTTACTCAAGGTCATTGCAGGAACCCATATATAAACATTAAATCCTTGATCCGCCTCTGTATGTGCAAGTAACTTTTGCTCAAATACTATATATGTATTAACGTAAGGTTATTGTAGAAACATATAAACTTTAAATCGTGGATCCACCTATTATTGTAAAAGTATTTTTTTTTTAAAGCAAAACATTACTTAAACAAACATGCTCATCGAGAACTTGGTGTGGCTATAATTTGAATATTGGTAGAACTTGAATATTAAACTTTTGTGTTTTGATTTGTGACACATTATTATGTAATAATAATCGTTTAAGTTTCTTTTTTGTTTGTTTGTTTTTGGTTTATTAAATGTGTAGATGGGAAAGATAGGAGAGAAGCTAAATATTGATTTTGTAATATCAACTGGTGACAATTTCTATGACGATGGGCTCAAAGGTGTAGATGATCCTGCATTTTATGATTCATTCGTCAATATTTATACAGCTCCTAGCTTGCAAAAGACGTGGTACAATGGTAAATCTTTTATGCAAATTTTTCATCACCATTATTGTACTTACTATTTAGAGGCTAATTCATGAGTTTAAGTTTATTGGTTCTTATAGGCAGCTAAAACAATTTTAAATTAATATAAAATAATAATTAGTTCAAAAATAAATATTATTTATAAATATGTAATGAATATATATATATATATATATATATATATATATATATAATTTGAACAAAAATTATTGGATTCACGTTAACCCATAAATGACACTCTAGATCTACCCTGAGCCCTGATTGTAGTTTATTATGATTACAAGCCTTTGAAAAATTATGGGGACGTATAAACAAGATTATGTAAATGCGTTAATTCCATGTGATTAACCATAAAGAAGATAAAACTAAATTAACGTGTAAATATATTGCATGAAACTGAATATAAAATATCGTTTTAATTTGTATAATTAAGTTCCTACTTTTTTCTTTTCTTGTGGCAGTGTTGGGAAACCATGACTACAGGGGTGATGTAGAGGCGCAATTAAGTCCAGTCCTTAGAGAAAAGGACGAAAGATGGTTTTGTTTGAGATCTTATGTTCTTGATGCAGGTAAAAATAAGAATATTTGACTACAATTTTTATTTTCGAAAAAGAATCGTCGTCTCATTCGAAAATTAAATATTTTAACTTTCGCACTCTGAGATTTAGGGGTTTTTAAAATTATAAAGGTGCAAGATCCAATGTTTTAATTAATTTTCACTCTCTTATTCAAATAATATAAAGAAATTAACACTAAAGAGAGGTGCATATTCTAATTAAGAGCAAATATTGATATTCTTGTCCTTATTTTTTGGTGAGGCAGAAATTGTGGAATTTTTCTTCATAGACACCACCCCCTTTGTTGACGACTATTTTACACACCCAAAAGATCACACTTATGACTGGAAAGGTGTCTTGCCAAGGGACAAATATCTCAACGATCTCTTAAAGGTAGTATTCCATCTGTTATAATTTATGTGTTTTTTTTAGTCTGTTTAAAAAAATATTATTTTTGATATCTCATAACTCTTTAATTCAAATATTTTACATGGAATATTTAAAACTGAAATTTTAAAGAACATTTTAGTACGTTCCATACATCTTTAATTCAAAAATCATAAGATTTAAAGTTGCATTTACTTTCTTAAATTTCATGATCTCAAACTAAGATATATAAAATGATACGGAGGCAGTAATGATATGGTACTTCATATTATTTTTGGCCTACGAGTTATTAAGAGTTGTGATATCTCCACAAAATTTACAACACAAAAGATAAAAAGATAGAAAAACATAGAGGCTAGAGCACAGAGGCGGATCCAAGATTTAAATTCTATGGGTTCAATTTTTAAGATTTTTAACATTGAACTCATTATATATTTAAAGTTATGGGTTCAAATCAATTATTTTTGCAATTTTAGTGAATTTTTACACATAAATTTCTACTCCGCATCGAAAGTTATGGGTTCAATTGAACCCGTAACTCTCACACTGAATCCGCCTCTGCTAGAGCATTAGTGGGCGTTTGGACATAAGGATTGTAAAATTTCAGAAAAAAAGTGAAAATGATATTTGAAAATTAAAGTTGTGTTTGGACATGAATATAATTTTGGGCTGTTTTTGAATTTTTGTGAGTGATCTGAAGTGAATTTGAAAAATAGCTTTTTGGAGCTTTTCAAATTTTCGAAAAATTTTGAAATTCATCTTCAAGTGGAAATCGAAAATTAAATGGCCAAACACTAATTTCGAAAAAAGTAAAAAAAAAAAACGAAAAAAATAATCTCTTTTTATGGTCAAACAGGCCCTTAGTAGTATTCGAAGACTTTTCGTGCCATGTAAAATGGTTATATATATAATACTTTATAGAATTAATATATTAAGAACTTTTCTTCTTTAATTTCTCTAAACCCTTTTTTCTTATTTCTCATTTGGTGTTTTCAAAAAAGGATTTGGATTTGGCATTAAGTAGGTCTACTGCAAAATGGAAGATGGCGATTGGTCACCATACGATTAAAAGTGCTGGACATCATGGTATTATTACAGAGCTTGCTGAACAATTAACTCCAATACTTCAGGTAATTTATTAATTACTACACATGTATATTTTTTAGGTTTAAATTAAATATGAGCTGATCTTCACAATTTCTTTTTGGATTTATAATTTTTGTTAACTTTATCCAATTTTTCCATTTAGGAACGTAATGTTGATTTTTACATTAATGGCCATGATCACTGCTTGGAACGCATTGGAAGCATAGACAGGTAACCAGACGTCAAGTACACATATGTACCTTTGCATACACTATTATTACTTAATCATTATTAATTAACGGTTAATTATTTGTTTAGCAACTTAGAATTTTTAACAAGCGGAGGCGGATCCAAAGCATGGAGGGGAGATATTAAATGGTGGAATCCTGAGGAATTGAAATTTTATTATGATGGACAAGGATTTGTTTCAGTTGAATTGAACAAATTAGAAGCTGAGTTTGTGTATTACGATGTTTTTGGAAATGTCTTACACAAATTCAAAGTGTCAAAGGACTCTTATTTAGCTAGTCAATAGCTAGGGGTAAATGTTACATAAGAGCAAGATGAATATCGAAATTAAAGTGTATTTTAGTGTATTATTGATTGTTTTCTATGTAATCTGATAGAGATAGGAATGATTATTGTGTACAATATGTTTCTTGCTTGCATGTTTTATTATTTTTAACGTCTTTAATTCAAAACCGAACATGAAATATTGGTTTTATTTCGGCTCCTTTATAATGATGAGTTAATTCATAGATCTAACATGTGAACAAAATTCGAAAAAAAAAGAATTCTAACAATATCATGTACGTCGGCTTTTGGTTAGAACACAATTAAAACGATGGTTGTGTTATGAACCCAATCAGTGGCACATCTCCTATATCCTAGAGAATGGCTGAATAGTTGCGAGCCGCTAGTTTCCTAGAGAACGGCGGGAGAGGCTAGGCGAGACTTAAAGGCTGCAGCAAACAACCATCTGGTAAGAGAATTTTCTAGAAAGCAAAAAATAGAAAGGTGGTAGGCCGACGTTGAACGCTTCAACTTGGCCATTGAAAAAGGTGAAGGCTGGGCGAAAGACTAGGTGAACTTACTGTGCCATGCCATGATTTAGGCTTTAGGATCCATGCACGAAACTCTATGGAGTAAATTCATTGATATATTAATTTATATGTTGGTAGTGGTTGGTGAGGAGGTGATGGTGGTGGAAGAAGAATTGCAAAGGGGGAGGGAGGTAGAATGGGTTGGGAGCATGGTGAGGTGACGTGCCAGATGATGTCCACTTCACAAAAATATTAATTTCGTGTGAGATTGGACGTCCACCTTGGATATAGCCCTAATAGAGAAGACGTATATTTTGAACAGCTTGAATACCGACGGGAGTATTTCTGCTAAAAGTATAAAGAATAAAATTAATCATTTCCACAAAGTAGAAGAGCAAATTTGGTCATTTTCCCATGAATATGGCAATAGAAGGTAGTAGGTGCAGTACATCCGCCTATGAAATGAGACAACTAGAGGGAAATGAATTATAGACAAGAAGCTGCACTAATTTTCAATTACATCAATGGTAAGGAGATTTAACTGCTTAAGCAGAAGCAAATTAAATCCATCATTTTTTTTAATTAGGAGCTATTTACATAATGGAAAATAGGGGTTTTGAGGCACTCCATTTATGTAAAACGTTGCCAAAAATGTCAAAGAATTGGAGTCCAACTTCTGTTTGAGTAATTTGCATTGCCATAAAGCCTTGTCCATCATAATAAAATTTCAATTCCTTTGGGTTCCACCAATTGATATCACCCCTCCATGCCTTTGACCCTCCACCACTTGTCAAAAATTGAAGTGGACTGCAAAAAAAAAAAAAGGTTTTTTTTTTAAAAAAAATTGACCCCCTTTTTTAATTTTTTATTTGAATTAAATTAAAGTCCATTTTTTTTAGCTTTAGTTGTGTTTAATATTACCTGTCTGAACTGCTTATATGCTCTAAGCAGTGATCATGTCCATTTATGTAGAAGTCAACACCATTTGCCTGAAAAATGAAGGAAAAAGAAAAGGAGAAGAAAGAAGTACTTAGGAAACAATATTATTGTTTCAATTTATTAAAAAGTCAACATTGTTTGCCTGCAAATATCACTTGTATTTTATTTTCAAAAATAAAGATCTCGGGAAATTTGATATAAAAACTACAAGAATTTGTATTTCAAAGTTCTTTAGAGAAATATATATTTTTAGCCACTTCCAAAATTAACAGTCTATATATGTGTGTGTTATAGAAAACAAATATACACATTTTATATACTTTTTGACTAGCAAATACAACTAATTTCGGCCAAACCATTAATTTTATAGTTTGCCCAATTCTTTACCTGCAAGACAGGGAGTAATTGGATTTCAAGCTCCTTGGTGTTACCGTGGTGGCCAGCACTTTGAATTGTGTGGTGACCAACAACAATCTTCCATTTTGCACTTGATTCCTTTAATGCAGAGTCCAAGTCCTAATTTGGTCAAAATTTAAAACACATTTAATTTTAAGTGGGCGTGTGGACATAAGAATTATAAAATTTCAAAAAAAGAAAAAGTTAAAAAAATTTAAGTGAAAATGGTATTTGAAATTAGAGTTGTGTTTGGACATGAATATAATTTTGGGCTATTTTTGAATTTCTTTGGGTGATCTAAAACGAAAATTTTGAAAAATAGCTTTTTGAAATTTTTCAAATTTTCAAAAAATTTCGAAATTAATTTTTAAGTAAAAATTAAAAATTTCATGGTCAATTTTCGAAAAAAAAAATTAAAAAAATTCGGAAAAAGGTGATTTCTTTATATGGCCAAACGGAGCCTTAGGTTTGTGTTTTCTAAAACGTTAAACGTCTTGAAAAAAATTCAGTTTACCAAAACGACTAATACGTAAATTAACTCTACCTTCAAAATATTGTCAAGATAATCTTGTCGAGGCAAAATGTCTCTCCAATCATAAGTATGATCTTTAGGATTTGTGAAATACATATCTTGAAAAGGAGTTGTATCTACAAAGAAAAATTCTGCCACATCTGTTCAAGCCAAGGGAAGGAGATAAAATGTTTAGATATTAGTGAAATTTAAAATTTTCACCTAATAATTAAAATTTCCTAATTAAGCTTAACTTAATTAAGTTTTTTTTTACCTGTATTAACAATATAAGACCTTAAACAAATCCACCTGCTATCCTTTTGCTTGAGGATGGGACTTAATTGTGCTAAAGCATCACCTCTGTAGTCATGGTTCCCCAAAACTGCAATAAAATATATAAGCAAATAAAATTTTCAAAATGGCCCAAATAGTTTTTAAAAAATATTTTTCTCTGGAAACATAAACATATGTCTTCACATGCATCATTATCACTAGTTAATAAAAATTAAAATTGATTTTATATAAATATTGTATGCGAATAAGTATTTATCCATGAATTTCACCAGTATTGTGCCTGATATTTTCCTGATAAATACCCTTACCATCTTTTAACAACATATTAAATATTACAGTGGTCCAAAATAGTACTTAGCTGCTGCCCAATTAATTTTCGAAAGATGATAGCCACAAATGCATGCATAAAATCAAACGTGGGAAGTACATATATCCACATGCATTTGTTAGTGGGCGTTTGGATATAAGAATTGTAAAATTTAGAAAAAAGTGAAAAAAAATTAAAGTGAAAATAATCTTTGAAAATTAAAATTGTATTTGGATATGAATACAATTTGGAGTTGTTTTTAAATTTTTGAGAGTGATTTAAAGTGAAAATTTTGAAAAACAGCTTTTTGAAGTTTTTCAAATTTTCAAAAAATTCTGAAATTTAACTTTAAGTGAAATTTGAAAATTTCATGGACAAATACTGATTCCGAAAATAGTGAAATTTTTTCGAAAAAAGTAAAAAATTTCTTATGGCCAACAGCCCTTACATATATATATATATGTGTGTGTGAATTTACTTAAAGTTGCAAGAAATAATTAAATATCATATTGAATCTTAAACATTGAACTCATCAAATTTAAAATTTTAATATGCCCCTACTTTTTATTACTCTAATATATTTGTACGTATATATATATAAGATTTTTTGGTTAGAAGGGGAAAAAGGAAGAAACTCACCATTGTACCACTTTTTCTGTACGCTCGGAGCAGCGTAAACATTGCTAAATGACTCCTCAAAAGCTGAATCATCGACACCAGTCAATCCATTATCATAGAAATTGTCGCCAGTTGATACAACAAAATCTATGTTTAATCTCTCTCCAATTATTCCCATCTACATAAAATTCGAGATAAAGAAACAATATTTTAGGATTTATAAAATAGAGAAATTATATTTAACCATTTATCTACTCCTATTCATCTTTGAAAATATTGGCAGGCGTACATTTTACTTCCTTTGCAAATATCTACATTTATCGTGTCATATTGGGGGTTTTCGAGTTATTTTTTTTTAAATCATACTTTAAGAGTGGAAGGTTAATATTTGTAGTGATTAGTGGCAAATTATACCTTTTAAAATAAAAGAAAAAGGTAAAAACAGCATATATGAAGCCACGTAGTCAAATTTAAGTGAACCGACAAAAGAAAAATAAAGTTAGAAATAGACAATATAGATTAGCTAGGTGGCAATATTGAATAAAACAAAGAAAGAAAATGGGACCTCAAGAAGTAAATTAAAGATATGGAGTACTCATATAGCTTATTGTTCTGTCAATTTCATATCTACGTTGATAAAGACCATAGAGGTTAGGAGGCATTAATCAAATGTCTTTATTCAAGAAATAATACAAAAGAGAAACAAAATGAAGTTGAGCGATAAGCAACAAAAAAGAGCTGAGTTGATTAGTGTCGAAGTATGATTATGACTTTCATTTAGTGAGATAATCGACATTTTTTAGGACCTACATGCTTAATTAATTGTGGTAACAGTGTCATTACTCCCTTGGTCTCAAATTTTCGGTTGTGCTTTTCAAAAATAATTGTCTCAAATTATTTGTCATTTTAGAAGTTCAAGACTAAATTAATTATATTTTTCCTATTTTATCCTTATAATTAATTGCTCTTGAAGAGAGATTATATCTTAAGACATAAATAAGGGTAAAACAGTCAAAAACTCTCATATTTAATACTCCCTCCGGTTCACAATAAGTGACCAATTTGCTTTTTTATTTTGGTTCAAAATAAGTGTCCAGTTATGTAATCAAGAAAGAATTCAATTTGTTTTTACAAACTAACCCATATGTACATATCCCTAAAAAGTTTTCTTACTCCTCACATTAAATGTTTAATTAGGGGTAGTTTAGTCATAGTAGGTATTTTTGTATAGAATTTAGTATTTTCTTAATGGACGTGCTAAATGTAAATTGGTCACTTATTGTGAACCGGGAGAAATAGTTTTTTTAAAAGACATGTAAAAGATAAACACGACCTATAATTTGAGACGGAAGGAGTAGTTATTTGTCATAGAGGAATAGGATTAGAGGCGGAAAGAATTAAAACTAATAGAGTTCCTATAATAAGTTCAAATCATATATAAGAATAATTAAATTTATTGTCAATATTTTTATGGATATCTTTTAATATATATAAGATTTGGATAAAAGTTATTGAGTTCGTGTAAATGATCTAATCCATCACAGGTTATAGCAACATATTTGAAATCTGCAAGGTAT